TTTTTTCAATTCGCCTCTTTTCTTAATCTTATTGAAAATTTCCCCTGAAATGACATTAACCTCTGATCCTGTATCTACTTTAAAATCTACTATAAAATCATCTACTACTACTTGCTCAACCCATTTAGATTTTACTTTTCTCTTACATACTGCACTTACATTTTCAATGCTGCTCAACTCACTCACACTTATTGCAACAAAGTATTCATCATCTTCACTAGAATTCTGTTTATGCCTGCTGCCTACTTGTAATCCCGAACATAAGACTTTCTATACATTTTTTCAAAATGTCCATAAAGCTTACAGTTATTGCATCTTCGACCAAATGCTGGACATTTTCTTCTACCATGTCAACTGCCGGACTGCCACATCTTTGACAATCAAATTGATCTGTTTCCTCATTTTTTGGGCATCTGTTTCTATTAAAATAGCCTGATGTTGATGCCTTATTTCCTCTATTTGGGAGTCATCAATTTTCACTTCACGACCATCTAGAACTTGTTTCAACTGAGCTTTTGCAATTTCATTTGCTTTGCAAATTCGAGATGCCGTTTTCAAGTCCACATCATCAAGATGCAAAAGCTTTTCTTGAAGTTCTTTACTTCGAATGCCTAGGACAATGCGATCTCTAATCATAGAGTCCATCGAGTTCCCAAAATCACAAGTTTGTGCCAACATCTTTAAATCAGTTATAAAATGATCAAATGTCTCACCCTTCTCTTGTTTTTTATTATAAAACAAAAATCTTTCATACACCACATTAACTTTAGGAGTCATGAACCTTTCTATTGCAAGTAACACTGTGCTATATGATTTATTTTGGTCTTCATCGAGACCTAGAGTATTGAATACCTCCAAGGCCTCCTCACCCATGATATTTAACAAGAGGGCCACCTTTAGCTCATCATGCTTTTTGTCTTTTCCACTGGAGGCCAGGTAAATTTCAAAACTTTGTTTAAATTTTCTAAAGTATTCTGCAACATTACCTTCAAATGAGAGAGGTGCCAGTAATCTCAGCTGTTCCATTTTCACTTTTCCACAAGATTATGATGAAGAATCCAGATTCCACACTAGGATATTGGGACAAAACTGTTTTTCCACAACAGGAATTGATTAACTGATTAATGATTATTAACCCACATACTACTGCGCCATGTGATACTATTGACTATTGACTAGAGTGATAGTAATACACGTAGGTTCAAATAATTGGTTTTATTAAGAAAACGATTACACACTATTGAAAATAAGAAACATGTTTTTGTGCTGAAAACAAAACAACTCTCTACCAAACTTAACATAACCTCTAAGAAACATCTACCCTAAAAACTAAAGGTGAGCTGATCATGCCATGTTGCCAAGTTTAGCAACTTAGATGGCTTGATCTAAATATCATCACACCTACTAATCTATGCTTACTTCAAACCAAGTGATTAATCGATGTTCTCTGATGTCATTTAGTATTTATTGCTGATATATTGATGTTATACCAGTGTAACCTGTATTCTTGTGAACTTCAGGTCCAGTTTGTTTACAATAGCATGGAATAGTTTTTTCTTTACATTGCTCTAAGGATCAAACGCATATTACAGCAGCTATTAAACAAAAATTGTTTACAACAAGTTATGAAATTCTATTCCTTGCTTAAAATGTGTCAGCTCCGATGTAAACAAAGGTCGGCTTACCTTCAGGTCACGTCTTCCTCCATTGTTTATACTTTAGTACCGGTAAGACATAGTTCCCGGCACCGAAATCACGCGTAGAATGTCTCCGCCAAAATTAAATTTTTTGCCAATTATCTCTCACCCAATCATTGCACGTAAATACTTCGAAAACAAAGAAAATGTGCAGACTCTCCATAAGAGCCTAACTGATCGTAGGCCAGATCAAATCCATAGCGATGCCACCTGGGTGGCGGGGCACGCAAGCTCCAAGCTCCGCCGCTCCTGGCAGATCGCTAGCTCTATGTCGGACCCGCCGATCCGTTCCTTAATCCCAAATCTTACTCTTTGTAATTGCCTTAGCTGGAGGAGTATAATCCTGCCCCGGTACCAGCCGCAGTCTTCAACCTGTCCGTGTAACAGGTTCGTGTCTGGTCCTGCTTTTTGGTCTCCGGTATGACCTGTTCTTATTCAATTCTGCTTGGGAAGCTGAGTCGAACGTTCTATTGAGGCGGTGTCGTCTTGGCATATGGTCCGTCTTCATATTCACAATATCTCCTCTCACAAGTTCTGCGATCACCATGTCATGATCATCCCGTCTTTTTGTTGTAGGCGATTGTCGGTTGCAGTCTGTACGCTCCCATCCTTGTTCTTGCTCCACAATGTACAGAAGTGGAAGGTCTAGGAGGGTGAGACCTTAGTAGGTACTTGACTTTGTTGCTCCATGGTATATCCTCACCTTCAATATCTATGTCTATTGGTACACAAGTCTTCTTTGAAAAGAATCTTGTTCTTGCGTGTGCATTCATCTTGATGTTTCATCTGATGCACTATTGGTGGATGAGGTCCATTTCTTCCTGTTGTCTCCAAGATTCAGTAGTTAGTTGTTGGCTGAGCTAGTATGTCCCAACCGTCTACGTGAACGGAAATCAATGTATCCGTAGTCTTTGGAATTCCGTTTACGAGTAGACAGAGTAGCATTTGAAGCATGTGGTACTGCTACTAACCTACTCGCTCTCGAGCGATCTCGACTCATCTTCAATGAATATGTTTGGCCAGCTAAATGGCCTTGGATCATCTTGCGAATTTTTATTTTACATTTAGTCACAACTGGCCACAGCGCCACCAAACCTTTTTTATGTTTTGTCGCTGGAGCACTCTTCTAAAATTTGATTGGTATGATGATTATACGTCATCGTTTGGCGCGTTTTAATGATTTAAATTTTTTCCAGTTTTGAAGTGCCTGTAGAAAACTCATTTAGGCTCGTAGATTAGGTCAGAGCTCATCCATCCAAATCCAAATCTGATGAATATTTCACCTATCTAGATGTCAACAATGAATATCGTAGTTATTTGCAACAAACAAGTGTAGAAATCATAAGAGATGATTGTGACCCAATTTGAAATAGTTTCCGGCAACTTTCGCCGACCTTTTGAATAGTTAAATGAACATTTTGATTGGCCTATTATTATTTATGATTGTAAACTTCAAATGTATGGAAATGGTATAGAGATACACACAATTTCAATTCAATTTCAATTTCAAAAAAGCTTTATTGTCGAAAATTATAATGTATAATCATTGACAAAGCAAATAGTTCAATAATAAATACAAAGTACTAAAATAAAGGTACCTATTACAAATCAGTCAAAACAAGTAAAATAAAAAACACATTAACACAAAAATCAAAAAAGCAAAATGTTTAACCAAAACGAGTGAGCACATGAATTTGAATGTAAATTAACGGAAAAAAACATAGTATACATAGACAAACAAAAAAAAAGAAAAGAATATACAATTAATAAACAAAATCAAACCGGGTCATTAATAAAATTCTTGAAGGCTGTAAAATGTCTTACCAAGTAAATATCTCTTTAGTTGAACTCGAAAAATCCTATAGGTATTCTCTTATGGATATTATGTCGTTTGGCAGATTATTAATTTTTTTTATTTTTTCATAAATTGTGGAGTGCTTTGCTAACTGTGATCTTGGGCTTGGCAAAGGCAATGTGTGGTTTCTAAAATTGTAACGATCTACTCTGGAAAATTCACGAAACTTCTTAAATATTAAAGATATAAAAATACATGGGAAGGTCAGTATCTGCTCTCGTACAAAGAGAGGCCTACAACTCTCCCGGCAACTCACCCTGCAGAGATAGCGTAGAGCCCTCTTCTGGACAAACACCGACCGGACCGATGCCTGGGTAGAAAAACCCCAAAATGCAATCCCGAATATAATATGCGACTCCATTAGTGCGTGGTATGCGACCTTAACTGAACGCTGGCCTGCTTTTTATTATGTAGCAGGCCTGTGACAGATTTTTATTGAGAGCCTCAATATGTGTCTCTAATCTGAGTATGGAATCTATGTGCACACCCAGGAACCTGACAGTTGATTTGTGTTCTATAGTTCCGCCGTCCAATGTAATGTTGTTAAGATCACACTTAAAAGTCAGTATATTTGTTTCCGATCCATTAAAGAGCAAGGAATTAGCATCACACCATTCCTTTAATATGATCAAGTCTCCTTCAACTGATTGTTTTAGGATTTTCTCATCCTTATGCTTCCAGAGCATTGTCGTGTCATCCGCAAAAATCACAAAATCCCCCAGAACAGGCAGAGTTGCTGGATCGTTCACGCAGATCAGAAAGAGAACGGACCCAATAGGACGGACCCCTGGGGAACGCCGTGTGACAGATTAGACTCTCCAGAATCCCGCCCGCCTGGAATCCTTACTAATTGGCTTCTTCCCGAAAGCTACGACTCAAATCAACTCAATTCCCTTCCCCCGCCCGACACCATAATGGCGCATTTTCCGCAACAGTATTTCAAATGCTTTTGAGAAATCACAAAACACTGCCGCGGCCCTCTCGCCATCATTCAGACCAAGAAAGAGTTTCTCGAGGAATGAAAACATTGCGTCACCACAACCCTACCCTCTCGAAACCCGAACTGTTCCGGTGCGAGAATTCCATTGAGCCTCACATATTCAACCAATCGCACTTTGACTATTTTTTCTATAATATTTGACAGAGTAGTCAACAAAGCAAACTTTGACAAAGCTATCGGGCGATAGGCAGATGGGTCTTCGCTGTTACCACCCTTAAAAATAGGGATGATTACCGCGAGCATTATGCAGTCTGGAAATACTCCCGAAGCAAATGACTTATTTATACAATCTGCAAGTGCAGTTATGGCCGCGTCAGGTAGGTGCTTGATACTTTTAGTGACAAACCATCAATTCCTGAGGCTGAGGTAGGTACTTTGTTTTTTGATGTCTCTCATCATAACAATAGGTACCTATTTTAGTTTGAGATTATGATAAACAGAAAAAACACACATTCTTTTTACAATTTATTGAGTAAAATTATGTACAAATTTCAAAAGCCATGTTGAATAAATATACATTTTTACATTATAAATGCACCAATTCTGGGGCAAGATATTGGCTGTAGCACCTTATTAATATGTATTCTCGTAAGAATTTCACAACATCTTTGAAAATTACCTATAAAAATCCTTAATGTAAAGAAAGATAACAAAATAATGTATTTTATTTTTGACAACCCATTATACGATAACTATTTTTTTCACCTTCGAGGAAAATAGTATATTCCCAGTTACATTTAGATAATAATATGTTCCATATGTAGTGTACAAAAAGAATTTACCAATGTGCATTTACTATTAATTTAATTATCCTATTGTTTCTATCCAAGTGTATTTACCCACGTGTAATGACCATGGATCATAATTCCCTTTATTTTATTTTCTCCAGAAATTATTTATGCTATTTTGTAAACCAAGAACGATTAAAAATAATTCAATAGAAAATAATATCAATATTTGAGATAAATTTATGTTTCTAAGCGTGAAAATTACAAAACCTTAATTAAACAAAATTTTTTGTAAGGCGTTTACGAAAGTTTCAAATACTTTATCTTAAGCTAAAGTAATACCCATTTCTAAAAGAGAGAAGGAAAACATATTACGAGATATGTTCCAGTTAAATTGGATATTGGAAAAAATACGAACAAAACTTATAAAAGTGCTAATGTTTACCGAATAAACCAACGTAAAATTTTATTTACATTACTTAGAACCAATAAAACAAAATTTTGTATAAGCCACGGGCATTGCTTGTTGCCTTATAATATGCCCACGGGTGATTTACAAACTGTCAGCGCACAATCATCTATAGTTAATACCCTTAATACATAAATAATAATTACATATAACATAATATTTAAATATAAAACACGACAACTTATCGATTCAACATAATGTTAAGCTTATAGGTACCTACTTATAGAAAAGTTTTCAAAATCCTGTGCTATTTAGAGTTACCTACCTATCCCTTTTTAAAGGCTTTGAGAACGATTTAGAGCAAAAATAAAAGTTTTGGCAAAAACTTTTTTCGATATTGTGTGGTACTTTTAGTAAGGTACCTATTTATAATACATATTTTTAAAGTATTTATTCACAATCACCACCCAAGTGTCAGCATTGAATAGTAGCTAACTAATTATTCATAAACTAGCGTTTTACTAAAAATCCCTGTTATCTCAGAAGTTTGAATTTTATTTCATACATTTTTATATGTGAGTAGGTACCTATATAACTTGCTTGAATGGAACAACAAATAATCGAAAATTCATTTTAACTCCAACTTTGGAGACGCTTTTCTTAACCTGAAAAAATTCAGGTTTGATGGACAACTTGAAGAAATTTTACAATTCAAAATGCGATAACCTACTCGCGTTAAAGTGATAACATGAGTAGTTTTGCCATAAAAACCTATAAAATAAAATTTATGTAATATATCTGCTTTTTCCATTCAATTGAGGTGGCTCTGCGTAAGGTAGAGGGCTAAAGAGGTTAATTATTATGTTGTTGTAGGTAGTATTTGTTTTTTTTTAAACGCTGATGTTGGAATTACTTTCATAGAGCAATTAAATACACCATGCCTGAGATAATAGAGAGTTATTGGACGTGCAATAAGGACAAGCAGTATTTAAATTAGCCTTATTTTGACATCTACGCATGCGTATTTGGGTCTGAAAATAAGGATTCCCTTAATAAGGTTACTGCTTTTCTTTATTTGTGTAGGTATGATTAGTGCGATGCAGTAAACTTCCCTTATTTCAAATTCCTGACATTTCGGACGACTTTGACGTTTTGCTTTTCGTCGATGACGTAATTTTACTTAAAAAATTTATTTTTTACAATAGTTTTCCATTTTACTGTGGGTAACATCAAAAAATGAGTATCAGCAGAAAATCACAAACAAAAATAAACACTTTTTGAGGCTGAAATTTATAAACATAGCTATCATCCGTCAAAATTATGAATACAAAATAAGGTAATACTCTAGCACCTACCACAGTCTTTCAATAACTGTTTTTTTCTTGGAAAAATAGTGCTGATGCACTAATAAAATAACGTAGATCCTTAATACTGCGAGGCAGTATTTAATAGTTCCAATAACTCTCTAATCTAGGAGTAATTTTAGTTCCTACATTCTACATTGACACAATGTACAATTCCAAAAAAGTAAACATAAACTAAGGTTAACATTTTAGAAAAAGTAAAAATTCGAAACGATATTTGCAAAAATAATCACAAACAAAAAAGCAAACCCTGCATACCCATCTAAAGAATCCTGCTCTATGTTCTGCACTTAAAACAGAACTTACCAAATACTGACCAACAAACAAGTGCAAAAATTTTATTCAAAACTTTCCTGCATTTATTTTCATACCATATACAACAAACTATCACAGAAGTAAAAATTGAGCAGGTCAACATTTACCAACAACCATAACCGCACTTCAGATAATTTAGAATGCATAGCATTCTCAACCTGAATTTAAATAAAATTATCTCTACTTTTGTCATACGGTTTTGGTTTATTTTTAAGTTTCCTAATTGGTTTTAGATTTTCCATTACTAATACTATTTCCGTTTGACACGTGCCCATTGAGAACACCGTTGGCAATGTATCCATTAACTTCTCCATTCGCGATTGTTCCATTGGGCAAGATTGTGTTACCATTTTTTTCAGTTTTTCCGGTGGAATCCTTGATTATTGTAGGTTGTGGCTTCTTTTCAATGTAAGCTCTTACGTAGAACGAGCCAAAAAGGTAAATGAAGTATCCGGCTTGGATCGCTAGAAGAACGTTGAAGACTTTGGGGTAATTGCATTCTCTGGGAAGGACTTGAACGTTGTGGACTAAGATGATAAGAAACTGAACCTGAAATGAACAAAAAGAATAATACGTGAAATATTAAGAGCTTGTGTCTTAATTGTGCCTAACTGAGAAGAGACATTTTCTTAGATACATGGAAAAGGCGCTAGAAGCATTGAATCTTATTTGAATGAGTTTGTCAATTCTTGTTGGGAAAACCACTAAATCATTATTCAAAAAATTGCACATTTTTTTTCGACGGAACTTTTTCTGCCTTTTGAGTATATCTTTAAAGCACAATTCTGCTCCAGCGAAGTGATTTTACTTTTACACTTAGGCCCGATTTATTCATCATCTTCAGATAAACTTGCTGGTAACTATCTGCAAGATAAATTTACCGTTCTAAAATTCTATTGGTTGGCGGATAACTGGCCGACCAATGGGATTACAGATTGCAATTTCATCCGTCAGATTGCATACCAGACAGTTTATCAGAAGGTGAATAAACCGGCCCTTAGAGTAATTATAAATTATACTTACCAATTGAAGTTTAGTAACGTGTTTTTTCCACCATAAGTATTTTTGCATTTCGGGTCCCAGCGAAGCCAAGAAGTAGTACGAATACAAAACGATATGAACAAAAGCATTACAGACGCCTAGCAAGGAACCATGACCACCTAAATTCGAGAAAAAAAAAATTATTCGCACACAATATGTAGGTACCTAAGCAATATTTTATTATTGAAACTTGGATTCCATTCAATATTCTTATCAAAACGACACTTCTGTAATTGAACAGAGTGCAACTTGATGATGACATGAGGAATTAATGAAAACAGCTCCAGAACGTCAACAAATTTCTGATCGACAGGCGTTTTAAGGAATTTCGTGGGGATCAGTGTACAGTATAGCTTGGCACAATAAGCGTGGACGTGGAATCGTATTCACCATTACTGGAGTACTTTACTGACAGAATGAAAAGATAGTGAAAATATTAAATTATTGTGTCACTCTCTACTCCCTAATAGATTATAGTGCTGTCGCCATTTTATTAGGAATTGTGTTTGTTTTGTAGGTATGTACATACAAGAAATAATCATTCGCCGAAGTGTCAAAAATTAAAAGATTTTATCCCGACAAAAGTTGAATATTTTTTTTCTATAATCATGGTATACTTAGTTCACACTTCTAATATTAACTTCAGTTTTCGCTTACCTGGAACAAAAGTTACTCCGATGTAAGAGCAAATAGGCATCAAACTGTGATGGTACATATGGAGGAAAGTCACTTGGTTGTATTTTTTTCTTAGAACGAAAAAGACCGTGTCCAAGAGATCTGTCAGTTTAATGATGTAGTAGAACCAAACTGCACTTCTCATCTAAAAATTACATTATTTTGTTGAAAACTATAGTATCATATACTTATACAAAGATATTTGGAGATGAAAAATGAAAAACCAATGAGGTCAGGAGATGAATAACAAATACCTATCTTGTCCATTCTTTTATTTGTAAAGTTATAAGAGATAGGTGTTTCCCTATAAACTATTCAATGGAATATTTTTAAAATACTACATTTTTGGTTGAAACAAACAAACATATGGACAACTTTGATCGACTTTACAGCTACACTCTCAGGCGAAATCAAGATATTGCTCCATTTGTTGGAAACCGAGCGGCGGTCAAAAACAACTCGGGTTCAACGCAGCAAATGTCACAAACGAAGAGATGAGCAAGAAGCACAAGCAGATGCTTGCGTTGAGATGTTTAGATATCGAGCCATGGACGCGAAGAAGCAGATGGTGGAGAAGATGAACAAACTCGGACAGAAGGATAATTGCGATGCGAGCCACCATTGATACTCAAATCAAGAGCATGAAGGAGAAGCCCATATAGCACAAGACATCTTTAAGATATCTCATTTACATCCAAATAACGTCGTGATGTCTTAAGACCTATAAAAGATGTCTTTAGGATGTCTTATTAAAGATATCTTTAATATATCTGGAGCTGATTCTGAACCAGGAGCAGTTCGCAGTTCCACTCCACCCTTCCCCCCAGCGGCTCAAGCTCGAGTAGCTTCCAGGACATTGTATACTGCACCAATGAAGAAAAAGACACCAGCTGTCACCATCCAGGGCACTGCCGACTGGATCACAATGTGAAGAGATCGGTGCCCGTATTCTCGCAACCGGGAAACAGCGTTCTCAAGAGAACGATTGCTCTGTCTTTGTCAGTATTATGGAAATAACAATATGTGCGACTGAGATAGAGCAATCTTTCTCTTGATAACGCTGTTTCCCGGTTACGAGTATACGAGCCCTGAGGTTTGGGAAGACAGAATTCGACGACGCCAAGCTCGTTGGGGATAGAAGCCCCACAAAAGACCACATCAGGACTGTGCTCAACTCCCTGGCATATCCCCCTCGATATTTCATTTTTTGATGAATGTATGGAGGATATTCAAATTTTATAATTTTATAGAAAAAAAACAGCAGAATGTCTTCGACCAGCCATATTAAGCCACCCCAACTCGGGCAGTTTATAGGATATTCTTTGTCTACGCCTTAAGCCTAGTTCTCATGGTGCGGGATTCCGCATGGCGGGTCCGGAAATCGCAGTTTTTTGAAAATCGTAATTTTTGATGGTTCACATGAAACGGAATTCCGGATACGGTTTTATGTCAAATACATGTGATCTTAACCTAACATATTTTTTGTTTTTGTTTTCCTGTGTGCCTGGATGGATAATTATATTGCACAATTAAATTATTATCAATGGAAAAGACAGAGGGAGGTATGAAAAAAAACAAAGTATCTGCTACTACGACAAGTAGTAGTATATTCTTCGTAGTGTTTACTTTAAAATGAAGTAGATACTACATTTCGAAACTACCGGGAATTAGTAAATCCTTTGTTGTGAAGTAAATACTTCGTAGAATATACTACTACCTGTAGTAGTAGCAAGTACTTCGTTTTTATTCAGACTACCACCCAATATACGTTAGTATTGGGTTTGTTATTAATCCATAATATGCATGAAACTTCATCAAAGAAGCAGAATAGCAGAGGAATATTAAAAAAAGGAAGATGTTGTTCAGAAATATTCTTCTGAAAAGGCATGAAGAAGGGGTTTGCCGTAATAATATGTATTTGAAAATAAAACAAGCACACAAGCAAGCAGATCAATTTATTTTTGTTAGGTATTAATTGTTTTTGTTTTTTGTTTGAGGTTAGTTTATTTGTTTATGTAGAAATCAAACAAAGATGAGAAATGTTTAGACAAAGACAGAAAAAAAAATCGCAAGAAAGTTGAAAATGGTTCAACTTTATTGCGGATCCGCAAAAAAGTTGACGTTTTCCCGCCAACGGAATTATTTCAAAAATTCCGCACCCGCAATCCAGAATTCCGCATCATGAGAACTAGGCTTTATGCCAAATATCAGTCTGAGACAAGAGTTTTGCGCTTTTTGAACTCTCTTTATATCAAGACGGTCCAGTGTAAATGGTTAGCAAAATTGAAATGGGACAAGACTAGGGCATCGCAAAGCATGGCCTTGGTTTTCTTTCTGCGATATATAATATCTATGCGAATAAGCCTTTTTTAAGCATGGAGTAATATGTGCTTTGCATATTTCCTGAGACGTCCTTAAAGGGCGTCAGCGAATCACTGGTGTCGGTGTGCTAGGATGTACCTACATTGGATAAGTCGATAAGTGGTACTTACTCTATGCGCTGATGGTGATCCAGTATAATCCACAGGTTCGCATTGAAAGTTGTAGCTGGTAAACCAACCACTACTTAGTCCCTAGAATATTTTTTATCATTGATAATCAAATTTCTTCAGAATTTTTCCTTACCTCATGTACCAGGTAAATATTTGCTAAAACTTGAAAAATATTATAGAGCTGTATAGTACGGGCCAACTTGAAGGGTTTCCGATCTTTCATAAATTTAGGTCCAATTTTCGTACAAAAAGTTACATAGGCTATAAGCAAGAGCAACAATTTTCCAAGACTCCCCACCATGATCCAATCTTTTGTGAGCTCATCTGAAAAAAATACAGAATAACCATTTTAATTATTTGTGAAAGACTGTCTATGAGAGCAAATGTTTATTTGAATTTGTTATTACATACAAGGTACATAGGTACAATTTCTCTTTAAAAAATTTCCAATATAATAGAGCTGGGCAAGTTTTCAACACATATACCTCCTTCTCAAAGCTTCTATATTTCAAACATCTATGGGTAGGTAAGTTGGTACTTACATAGTAGAAATCAAAAAGAAAATGATGTATGTGTAAGACAAGGTGAATATGCCATCATGTCTGATGCCTGGTAAAAGCCTTATTCCCTAACGATTCAAGCGAAATGTCATCAGCCTTGGAACTCGATTAATTCCATAAACAAGAACTGATTATTGTGGCGTACCAGCCATAGCATAATTATTATTTATTACCTACCTATGCATTGAAAACGAAAACACTCAACACCGCGATTTTCAGCGGCGTTACCTCAGCCTATCTACATAGGCTCTTTAATAAAAAATCATTCAGTGAAAATTTTATTTATGTACTAAAAAATTGGCCATAGTGTTTTGCATAAAATTATATAACGATATTAAACATTTTATTATAAATGCAGTTTTTGTAAAAGTGCAAAATACCTAGGATCTCAATCATTTGGAAAAAATAGGCTATTGAAAGCAATACAATTTCACTCACGAATCATTTTCGAACTTCGGAAATTCAGACCCACTTAGTTCAGGTAGATCAATTATATTTAAGAAAATACGATGTACTAATACCTTTTTGATGAAATCTGCGTATCCGCCTCAAACATTTTATAAACCATTAAAATGTTAATTTGTAAATCGTCTTGTTTTGTCGATAGCTTTTATCTTGAGGAATTTGAATACTTTTGATGACCAAGTATGATCTTTCAGTATTATGGGGTAATATTCTATAACTTCTTCTATGAAAAGTGGGGTGATCTGAATCCTGAAAAGACTTCAGTTCTAGACAATGATAATGAAATGAGTGAATCACAGGCGCCGCGGAGTGTGAAATTTTGGCGTTTTAGGTGGAATTAATTCGATTTCCCAACTTTATCACAGGCCTATATTTATTTTACAATTAATTCAGGTAATATCCATTAAAACCAATTAAAAACATATGTTTATTTTCAAATTCAACCTTATCATTTAAAGACGGTAAGAATATGCACAATATTTTGTTAAATTTTGCAGGCGTTGTATTCAGAAGTGTCAAGTTTCGCCGGAAATCTCCATTGATAATAGTTTTCTTTAACACGTACAAGGTAAGTTATCTTTTTCAAAAAATATCCTGCAAGATAGTTCGACTGAAAAAAAATTGAAAAGAAGTACATGTAGTTACGTATTAAAATTGCAATTTAGTAACTTTGAAAATATTTTTGATAAATAATACCACATCATACCACAATAATTCTATATTTTTTTAAAAGCTCACTTTTTTGACCATTTGTTAAAAAAAAAATTAGCTGCGGTCAGGTGCGTTTTATCTATATTTTTGTCAGGCTATACAGGGTGTTTCAGAAATGGTGTTACAAACGTGAAGAGCGAATATAACTCATCAAAATAAGAAAAAAGTTCCAATGAATATAGGTCCGGAAACGTTTCGTTTCCGAGGTATACAGTGAATTCATGAATACACCCCTATATCTCAGTTATTAATAATGCGATTTTATTTGAATTTTGGTGGTGATTGTATATTAGGAAAATGACCTATTTGACATAGTAAATATTTTTATTCACCATTAGCGTGCGGTGTTGGGGGGTAAAAAATGGTTGTATTTTTGGGAAAAAGATATTAGGTAAGACTTATTTCATATAATTTTTTGTATCAGACTAAAATTCAGTATCCCCAAAAACCCCTTAATTCATACATATTTTCAAAATATGAAGAGCTGATTTTACCAAAAAAAATACCTATTTTAATTCGCTTTTTCTAATAAGTTGTTAATTTCTAATTGTGATAACCAAATAACAGGTGATATTATTTTCGAATATTGTATTTCTAGCATAACTACCTTCTAATTACAAATAAACAGCTTATTAGAAAAAGTAAATTAATATAAATTATTTTTTTTTTTGCTAAAATCATCTCTTGAGATTTTCAAAATATGAATTAAGGGGTTTTTGGGGATTCTGATTCTTAATCTGATACAAAAAATTATCTAAAATAAGCCCTAATATCTTTTTCCCAAAAATACAACCCCTTTTTACCCCTCAACACCGCACGCCAATAACAAATAAAAATGTTTATTATATCAAATAGTTAATTTTTCTAACATACAGTCACCACCAAAATTTGAATAAAATCGCATTATTAATAACTGAGATATCAGGTTGTATTCATGGAAAGCGGGACACACTGTATTTTGGGTTCATTTCCAAACTAACCCAAAGATCAACCCTTTGATTTATCGTAAAGATTGTGGCCATTTCTGAAAAAGAACAAAAGCTATACGCTCTGTACGAAATTTCAGCTATTTATCTTAAAAATTGAAAAATATAATACAAAAAAAAATAATCAATTCTTATAATTACTAGCTCCAATACCTCGGAAACGAAACGTTTCCGAACCCATATTCATAGAAACTTGTTTTCCTATTTTGGTGAGTTATATCCGCCCTTAAAGTTTGTAACATCATTTCTGAAATACCCTGTATATGACGGTGATTGTCGAGTTTTTAACTATGTATTAGAAAAAAAGATCAGGTAGGTATATGTGCCCATTAAAAAACTGTAAACGTATTTTACAAATTTTCATTTTCAAGAAAATGTTTTCCTTCATACTAACAATACTATTGGAGTTACTAAATACTGAGTCGAATATACAGACTGTCCAACAAAAGTAAAAAAATGAAACAATAAATTTCTGAGAAAACTAAAGGACCAAAATCTCAAGGACTACCTATTTGTTATTAGGCAACAATTTTTATTGTGAATAAAATTTCTAAGCAAAAAAGTAAAAAAGTTTGCTATATTATGTACCCATCGAACATTATGAAGCACCCTGTATATACCCTAAAATTATTTTGGTGCAATCTTAATTTATCAAAATCTCTTATACAGGGTGTCACGAAAGGTTTGTTACAAAATTCTAGGGATGGTAGATCTCGTAAAAATTGAGCTTTTTTTTTGATAAACATATCTCCGGAAATTCTTCGCTTTCCAGATACAGGGTGTTAGACTTTGTAATAAAAAATCAATTTTTTTATTATTTCTTGGAAATGCGTTGGACGAATTAAATGATATTTTTACAGTTTGTTGACACTCTTATAGGGTATCTTCTGGACTGCTCAGAGTTGACCCAGTAATTTCAGGGGCGTGCCCACAGGTCATGTCGGATGGTTTTTTGCACGAAAAACATCGCAGGTAGATTTATTTTCAATTAGGATATGTTTTTTGAATATAACACCCAAAGATACACCTTTTTTGTCTCTTAATTTTTTTCCGTATGCTGCTTTGTTTTCGAGATAAAATCTAAAAACTATTTTAGGCGAACCTCGAACGTCACTGACCTCCATGAATAAAAATAAATTGCCTCAGAATTACCTGAAATTTTACCAGCCTACATATTGCTTTAAAATAAACAAAAAATAACAATAAACTTTTTTTCTAAAACGCACGCATTTCTTAGAATTAATAAGAAAATTGACTTTTTTTTTACAAAGTTTGACACCTTGTATCTGGAAAACGAAGCATTTCCGGACACATATTAATTTAAAAAAAAGCTTAATTATCATGAGATCTACCATCCCTAGAAGTTTGTAACAAACCTTTCGTGACACCCTGTATAAGGACAAAAAAGACTCATTCTCATTAAAAAAAGGCGCTAATAATTTTTTTCCAGCTGGATCCCGAAAATTTCACACTCTGCGCTGGAACCATAGGGGCAATGGGAGCTTGAGACCCCATAGTATATTTATACAGTGTGTCCCGCTTAAGAGTGCGCTTCTCGATGCTGAAAATCGCGAGTGCGCCTTTGCTATTTTAATAAAAACAGTTGCATCTAGAAAATTTTAACCGAAAACTTTTTTCAAGGAAATGCTTGTTTGACCAGTAAAATTTTGTTGATTTTTCTCATTTTATGAATTTTTTTTTTCTCAAAAAATGAGAAAAATCAAAAAAAATTTACTGGCCAAGCAAGCACAAAAGTACATTCTTAAAAACAGTTTTTGTTAGAATTCCCTAGATGCAACTGTTTTTATTAAAACAGCATAGTCGCAAACGCGAAATACCTATTTTTTCAGCATCGAGAAGCGCACTCTTAACCCTTCGTCAGTGTGGTAAGAAAAAGTCCCATTATCAGTGTGGTGGGGTATGTCATACCCCAAACTTTTTTTTGGTTTCCAAATTAAGGTGGCAAAAAATAAATATTTTATTAGTTTCTTTAGCTTATATATTAAACTAATTTCAATAAAAACATGATACGGGCTTCTAGATTTTCTATTTATTGCTTCAAAATATATAATCATTGTAAATCTGTATTTTTATCAAATTAAACATACTGCGAAGTAATTATTGGTTTTGAAATTATTTAATAAGTTTTAGACAAAAAAAAGCTTCACATTTCAAATGAAAAAACATGAGTCATTATCGTGTTGAAAAAATTATCCTAAAAGAGTGAATACATAAAATTTTAGGCTGCATCAAAGTCGATGCAGTTTTGACAAAATAGATTTCCATGTTCCATGCATAATGGATGTCCCAAATTTCTGACAGCAGTAAAATATCTTACTGTCTTTTGCTCGAGAACAAATTATACATCTTGACGATGCTCTTCTTCGTTTGTTTTGCTTTTCCATGAGACCTGGCTGATTTTTTTTTGACTCAATGGTCTAAAAACTCTGGGCAGACGAGGATTTTTCTCTATCTGCTTCTTCCCATAGTTTTCGCAAATGAGCTTGCTCTGCCTCGTATAACATGATATCCGAATATTATTACATAGAAAAATGTATCATGAGCGAAAAATTGATAGAAATAACATATCTTGCTTGCCTAC